GCCAGTGTTCTGGACACTCTTGGTCGTGCTTGGATTGATGTGCTGGTGGAGATCCCAGGAAGAAGCTGGCAAAAGATGGCGAAGGGAGGGGAAGAGGAAGAGGAGCCATAGAAAGGGGGCAAAGGCGTTGGCTTTGGGGATTTCCAAAGAGCTTTAGATATTGTGACAGTTCTACCTGTTGGCTTTGTGTTTGGAGCGCAGGGCAGGAAGGTTGGGGAGATAAATGCAGATCAGGAAGGTAAGCGTGAACACAGAGTCCATGGATAATATTTTATCAAGCCTTTGTCTTAACTTGGGCAGCAGCCCCATTGGGACTTTATTAATTTATTACCAGTTAATAAGCTACATCCTGTTCTATTGCGTCAAATCAGTCAGTTTTATTTCATAAAGATCGACATGTTTCCTGAGTTTTATCAGGCCGTTTTAAATTCCACACCAAAGTCCAAAACGGGCTTGCAATAAATACCTGATAATACACTTAATTGGTTTGGGTTGTGATATTTATAAGAAGAGAAATTTGCAGGGAGCTTGGAGTAATACCCTGTTTTCCCCCAAATAAGACCTCCTTGGATAAATAAGCCCAATCGGGCTTTTGAGTACATGCGCTAAAATAAGCCCTCCCCAAAAATATTGCAACACATACGCAGCCGAACCCCACCATTTCCTCTGGCTGTATGCCATGCAAACAACATGAGGTGAGGAGGTGAGGTGGGGGGTGGGAAGGGAAGGGGGAACATGCTCCATACACGCCCTTACCCAACGGCCGCTCCCGCAACCCTAGACACCGCGCCTTTTCTGTCACGCGAATGGCTGCCCCAAATAGAGCTGTAGGCCCAGTGACGCGCAACACAGCAGCAGCCATGAGGTGACTACACTCTCCATCTCCTCCACCTCAAAAATAATAAGACCTCCCAGAAAATAAAGCCAAGTGCTTATTTCGGGGGGTCAAAGGAAAAGAAAACCCTGTCTTATTTTCGGGGAACAACGGTAAGAGGAATTCAGTGCCACAAGTATTGGATTCTATTCCTTCCATGGGAAGGAAGGGACACAATTCGTTGCCTCCATGATCCAAAGTATCCAAATCCTCAAAATCAAAATCTTCTGTTCTGTTCTGAAAGGGGAAGAAGATGCTTTTTCCAACCTTGAAGGTCCCCCCCCCCCCGGTGTCTCATTTTCCGAATCTCGTTTTCTCTAACATATGTTCAGTTTCAGTGATAGCGCTGAGATCATCTTTATCGAACATTGATCGATTTAATTGACTTAAGGGAGCCTTTATCTTTTCTTTACGAGCAGCCGGGACTTGTGTTAGAAGCTGCAAAAGAGCATTATCTTATTTGTATCTGTTCCTCGCCTGGTTTTGCTGATCACCACTACTTGGCCTGCATCCTGTTCTTTCCCCCTCTCTGCTTTTTAAAGTTTGGATTTAGGGTTTTCACTGTGCTGTAGACAGGAAGCGATGTCAGGGCACAGAGCAAAGTTGAATGGATCTTGCACAAATGCTGGATGCTCAACATTTTGCATGCCAATACCCGGCTACAACCCTCCATTCCTTTGTGTGGGGCATGAACCAAGATTATATGTAGGAGAGAGATAACAGCCGAGGGGGCGCAGTGGTTAGAGTGCAGTACTGCAGGCTACTTCAGCTGACTGCTAACTTCAGTTTGGCAGTTCGATTCAACTCAGGCTCAAGGTGGACTCAGCCTTCCATCCTTCCGAGGTGGGTAAAATGGGGACCCAGATTGTTGGGGGCAAGAAGCTGACTCTGTAAACTGCTTAGAGAGGGCTGTAAAAGCACTATGAAGCGGTATATAAGTCTTAAGTGCTAAGAGAGAGAGAGGGTGGGGGGAGAAAAAAAGAGAGAGAAATTCGCATATCTGCAGGATCTGAAGTGATTTTTGTCACCCAACATACTTGAGAACAAGGTAGGCTCCAAAAATTACTCATTAACTACCCCACTTCAAGTAGTGGGGTTGCCATTTCCAAATGGATGTCTGTGAAAGTGGAATTTATTTTGCATTCATGTTCCCAATGACTTGGCACATATGATGCAGGCAGGTTAAAGTTTATCTCGACTATCAATAAATAGCTAATGAATAAAAATCTACTGTTTCCTAATAGGAAACAAGATAAAAAGCTGTTATGCAATACATATACAATGTATCTCTCTCCTTCCCCTCCCCTCTCCTTAATTAGAAGCAAATATTTTTCTGTATTTGCATACCGACTGTAAAAAAATTTGCCGGTTAGGAAGGAAATCATGTATTTACATATTAATGCTGGAACATTACTTTTAAAAAAATACTAAAAGCAGACAGAAGTGAAACATTCTACAGAAGTCTAGCTTGGGATAGCATAGCAATTTTTGAAGATGAAAAAGGATCTCATTGGAATGAAAGAAGTTACTTCGTATGCTAAGTCCCTTAGTAAGTTTGGAACACAGCTGCTTTCTTAATAGAGGTTTAGAGCCAGGAGTTGAGATCTCAAAACAGCTGACAAGCTGTTTCTATAGCAAACTCTTTCTACAGGTAATGTTCCTCCTAAGGGAACAAAGCCCTTTAGAAGTACTCTTGTTCCTCTGACTCCCCACTTAATCCTGTGACGTCCTTACTCAGAAATCTTTCCTGCCATTTCCTTGTTCCTTCTTAGTTGTTGCAAACTGGCATGAGGTCAAGACACCTGTGGTGTCAAGTAGGATAGGTGTAACCATGCAATCCTAGTGGGTCTCTTTGTGCTGAACAGGAAAACATGCTTGCAGCCAAGGAATTTGCACTCCCTCTGTGTTGCAATCCAGTCCTTTGAGTAGAAACCGTGTCGTGTCCCTGGGCTCCTGAAAGTGAGTAAGCAAGGACTGAAGTTAAGAGCTTGGTACGGAAGGGTTCATCCTAAAGCAGGGGTGTCAAACTTGATTTCATTGAGGACCGCATCAGGGTTGTGTTTGAACTCGGGGCGGGGGGCGTGGCCAGCTTAATGTCACCAGTGTCGGGGGGCGCCTGTGGTAGTCCAGGCGCTCTTCTAGCGAAAATGGGCTCCCAAGCTCTGTTTTCAGCTGCACCTGCCTCCTCCATCCCTCTGCCAGCGAAAATTTGAGCTCGGGAGAGCCACGGGCGGCCCGCTTCAGCTCTGTTTTCGCTGGCAGAGGCACCACAGGTTGGTCCTTCGCTGTTTCCGGGGCCAGATCTAAGCACCCTGCAGGTGGGATCCAGCCCCCGGGCCTTGAGTTTGACACCCCTGTCTGCACCCAAACTGCAACTTGGGAGAAATCCAGAAGGAAACAAATCTAGTCTGCACACCAGTAAGTAAGGCGCTAGGAAATATGACCCCCCAAAGAACCAAGGTTTTTCTGTTCCTCTGCCGTTTAGCATCCTTTCCTCCTCTTCTGTGCCCCTATTTGCAATAATGTGCTTGTCTATCCATTTCTACCCTCCTCTCTTTTCCCTGTGGGCATTATGCATTTGACAAAGCAGGAAGGCCCTTCAGCCGTGCGTGTGCTTCTTCCCTTGAGCGTGCTCTAAGGAGATTTCATCTCATCAGTACCATATTACTGCTCTTCGAAGGATGGACTGGGATTGCAGCAGGGACCCCAAGGATAGGAACCGCAGGATAAAGGACATTGTAATTGTTGAAGTCCAAAGTGGAGTAGATATCTGACAC